ATCCCACCCCAGGACACCCCTGTGCCACCATCCCACCCCAGCACACCCCTGCCCTATTATCCTACCCCAGGACACCCCTGTCCCGTTATCCCTCCCCAGGACCCACCTGGCTCTTCTGGGACACGATGCAGGAGCGCAGTTTCTGGATGCGGATGTTGAGATCGGCGATTTCGCGCCGGCTGTCGAGGAGGTGCCCCCCGAAGGAGCCGGACTGGGAGCTGCTGTCGGTGAGCTGTGGACAGAGGGAGCAGGGGGGAGGCCCTGGCATCACCTGGATGGTCCCTGGCATCACCTGGATGGTCCCCTGGCATCACCTGGATGGCCCCTGGCATCACCTGGATGGTCCCTGGCATCACCTGGATGGTCCCTGGCATCACCTGAACGGCCCCTGGCATCACCTGAACGGCCCCTGGCATCACCTGGATGGCCCCTGGCATCACCTGGATGGTCCCTGGCATCACCTGGATGGTCCCTGGGGAAACATTTGGGGCTCCTTCCCACCCTCTCTGTCTGCGACTCCCCTGGCTCCTGGGATCACTCCCATTCCTGCTCTCTGGAGCGCTGCAAGGACATTTCCATCTCCACTGGGAGATGTCATGGATTTCTCCAGTGTGGAGGGCCCGGAGTAACAAAACTCTGGATTTACTGTCCAGAACTGATCTGGGATAGCTCCTCATCCTCCCTCCATTCCCATCCCTCCCACCCTGCTGATCCAGCCGTTTCCAGGCCAATCCCTGTCCTTTCCCTGCCCATCCCACCCGGAGCAGGGATCTGTACCTTCCTCCTGGTGAGAGCCTCGGCCTCTTCCCAGCTCCGCAGGGCCAGGGCCTCGTACTGGGCTCTGACATCCTCCACAATCCTGCCCAGGTCTGGCCGGGAGCAGCTGTCAATTCCCAGCACCACAGAAATGTCCTTGATGTCCGTCAGCAGCTCCTCCAGTTCCTGCAGAGCCAAAAGGACACCAGGAATGAGAGCACGGAGCTGGAAAATCATGGAAWGCTTTGGATGGGGGAGGAACCTCAAAGTTCATCCCATCCCACTATTCCATGCTGCTCCCAGCCCTGTCCAGCCTGGCTTTGGGCATTTCCAGGGATGGGGCAGCCACAGCTGCTCTGGGAAATTCATTCCAGGACCTCCCCACCTTCACAGGGAAGAAATTCCTCCCAGAATCTGCTCATATCCAAGATWTTCCCAGCAGTCAGAGGGATCTCTGGAAGGCAGAGCAGCTTCCACATGGAGATGGGGAGAATTCCTGAGTTTTTATTCTCTGGAGTTGGGAATCTGGGATTATTTGCACCATAAAAGCCTCGGGTTAAGGTGGGATCTTTGGATGCA